CCCCCTTACCTGCTTCAGGCTTCCCGCGACTCAAATGTTCGCGGAAAGCAGGGGAGGGGGCGGAGACTTTGGGGAGGGGGCGGAGTTGGGGCGGGCTGGGGGCGGGGCCGGGGCCCCGTGGAGTGTCCTCCTTTGGGAGGCACAAAATATGGTAACCCTAAAGGAATGTGTGATCCAGGGGCACTCCACGCAGCAAGGAGTGTGATTCACTTCCAGCTACTGCTCAGAGGCAGGGAGTCCAGCCATACTTCCCAGCCAGCTCCTCCTGGGTCCTAGCAAGGCACCAATTCCATTGCTCTGCAGCCCCCCCACCATCCTGGAACCTGCCCCTTAGGGGCTCCACACTACATCCTCTGGGCAGGGGCAGCTTCATCTCCCCGCACTAAGGGGGCATAGTGCACAGAGGCCGGTCTGTCTCCCAAGATCTGTGAGAGTGAGGGATCATCTCTCAGGATAGGTTGTAGGACTTTGATGATGCACTGGAGAGGTTTTAGTTGGTGGCTGAAGGTGACAGCTAGTGGCGTTCTGTTATTTTCTTTGTTGGGCCTGTCCTGTAGTAGGTGGCTTCTGGGTACTCTTACGGCTCTGTCAATCCGCTTTTTCACTTCAGCAGGTGGGTATTGTAGTTGTAAGAATGCTTGATAGAGATCTTGTAGGTGTTTGTCTCTGTCTGAGGGCTTGGAGCAAATGCGGTTGTATCTTAGAGCTTGGCTGTAGACAATGGACTAAAATTTATTTGAGCATAAGCTTTCATGGACTACAGCCTATTTCATGGGATGCATAGAATGGAACACACAGAAAGAAGATATTTATATATACAGAGAACATGAAAAGGTGGAAGTAGCCATACCAACTGTAAGAGGCCAATCAATTGAGATGAGCTATCATCAGCGAGGAGAAAAAAAAAAGACTGAAGGGAGAGGCACTGGAGCAGTCCTGCCCACCTCCGCAGCTGCTCAACCACCCTGCCCTCCAAATCGTGCCAGTTCTCCAGTAGAAAAGGATGTGTGGCAGAAAGATAAACACCAAGATAGAGCAGTGGACCCGCACCCCACCAAATGGCCTGAAGCGTGGGTGGGAGGGAGCTCGCCTGCCACCCGGCCCCAATCATCAGGCCAGAGCTCTCGACCCAGTTGACCTGGGCAGAGAAGGCTGCCAAGTACATAGCTTGGCAGGCCTCCACCAGCACCAGGTCACCCGGGTCCTGGACCACGAGGAGCACGCCATTGGCGTACACTGACAGGACCAGCCATGTCCCTGGCTCATAGAGCACCAACCCCGTCAACCTCATGCGAAGGAGACAAAGGAAGGGCTCAATGGCCAGAGTGTACAGCTGACCCAACAGCAGGCAGCCTTGACGCACCCCCCGCCCGAAGCTGACAGGTGCAGTCAGGGTCCAGTTGAGCTTGACCAAACACTCTGCGGAGGCGTACAGCACCTGGAGAAACCCCACAAACTGGGGTCCGAAGCCGAATGCCTGCAGAGTGCCCAGGAGATACCCGTGGTCCATCCGGTCGATCGCCTTCTCCTGATCCAGGGACAGGAGGGCGAACGACAGACCATCCCTACACCTAAGCTCCAAGAGATCCCGGACCAGATAAAGATTGTCAAAGATGGTACGGCCCGGGATGGTGTAGGTCTGGTCTGGATGGACCACATCCGCCAGCAAGGACCGTAGCCGCAGCGAGATGGCCTTCGCCACAACCTTATAGTCCGTGCTGAGGAGCGAGATGGGACGCCAATTCCGGAGATCGCGGAGGTCCCCCTTCTTCGGCAATAAGGCAAGCACTGCTCACCTGCACGAAAGAGAGAGGACCCCGCTCTCCAAGGACTCGGCCCAGACGGTGGCAAGGTCCGGGCTGAGGACGTCCCAGAACACGCGGTAGAACTCCACGGTCAGCCCGTCCATGCCCGAAGATTTATTAGTGGGCATGAGATGGAGGGCTTCTGAGAACTCAGCTAGAGTGAGAGGCAGCTCCAGCCGGTCCCGGTCACCCGTGCAGACCATCGGGAGTCCGTCCCAAAGCACTCTGCAGACATCGGCATCGGTTGGATCCGGGGAGGAAAGGCCAGCATAGAAGGCCCTGGCCCTCTCGCACATCTCCATCGGATCCGTGAGCGGGGCGCCGTCCTCTGCCAAAAGGCAGAGGATGTGCTTTTTTGCCCCCCTCTTCTTCTCCAGGGCGTAGAAGAAGCGGGAGCCGCGATCCATCTCCCACAGGAGATGGATGTGGGATCGTACGAAAGCACCCCGGGCCCGAAGATTGTCAAGGGTCTGGAGCTCCTCCCGCTTCTCCCAGTACGCTCCACAGAGGGGTGGATCTCCGGAGCTGGCGGCCAGACGCCTCTCCAGCTCCATCATCACATCCCTCCACCGGCTGGTGCCCCGGGTGTGGCTACGGCAGAAGAGCCGGGCGCTCACCTTCCCCACATCCCACCACCGCCGCGTTGAGGGAAAGGCACGCCTGTTCCCACCAGGCCAGCCAAAACTCCCATGTCACAAATCCCACATCCTCCAGCAGGCTGTTATTGAAATGCCAATAGGCCATCCCCAGCCTCTCCGAAGAAAGAGAGGCCGTCACAGCCACCAAACGGTGGTCCGAGAATGGGGCTGGCCATACGCTGGAGGAGTGGGCCTGCGAAAGATGACAGCGAGAGAAATAGATGTGATCCAACCGGGAGTGGCTTGACCCTTGTTCCTCCATCCAGACAAAAGTGAACGTAGTGTCATCGTCTGGGTGGTGGTCGCGCCAGACGTCCACCAGGGAGCGATGGACTACGATCTCCCTGAGGATGTCTGCAGCGGCCAGGCTCGGCTCGATCCCTGTGCGGTCCCGCTCCTCGAAGGTGCAGTTGAAGTCTCCGCCCAGGATCAGGCACTCGCGAGGATCCAAAGTACCAAGGAAGGCGGACGCCTGCTGAAAGAAGCACGCTCTCACCGGGCCAGATGCTGGGGCATAGACATTGACAAGATGCAACGTTAGCCCCTCCATCCGAACCCGAAGGTGCAGCAGGCAACCTGGCACGACCTCAGTAATCCCCGGCACCTCGGGCTGTAGGTGCAGGGAGAACAAGGTCGCCACTCCGCCCTGACGGGCCGAAAGGTGGCTAAAGTAGACCCTGTCCCCCCACTCCAGCCGCCAGCTCGCTTCGGCGGCTGGATCCATGTGGGTCTCCTGCAGGAAAATAACCGAGAACCCCCCCCTCCTGAAGGAAGGAGAGCACCTGGCACCTGCGGAGACCCCACCTACAGCTGCGGGTGTTCAAAGTGGCAAAGATGGATGGCGATATAAGGAGGGCTGGGGATGATCCTCGCGGTCTGGGACGCTAGCGGCCCCCATCAGACCCCGCAGCAAACCGTGACCAACCCTGAAAGCCAGCAGGGTGTCACAGAAGCTGCGGACCCACTGGTAAGCCACAGCATCCCGCTTCCCGGTCCCTTTGCCCTCCCCCATAATGGCCCTCACGGTCTGGAGAACAAGATGGAAATCGCCCCAGCGCTGAAGAGCGAGATGCACTCTATTCATGGAGCCACGAGTGTCCTCCAAGAAAGAGTGCATCTCGCCCCTCTGAGCGGCAGGGACCGGGGTCACAGACCCCAGAGCGTCCCCTGATTGGACCCCCCTGCCAGCTCCGTGGCCCAGCAAGACAGGCACTCAGGGATCAGAGCCCCGCCGTGGCGCCTGTCCCTCCGGCACCATGCCACCCGACGCAACACTCGGCCCTAACGACAATGGCGGAGGGAGAACTGCAACCCCAGATGGGCAAGAAGAGGGGGAAAAAAACAAAAACCGCCTCCCGGGGGCCTCCATAAAAAGAAAATGAGGCAACCCCGGGGGCGGCAGCAACAGGAGGGAGGAGGGAAAAGAGGTTATGGATGGGAACAAGGGTTGGAACAGGGTCAGAGACAGGGACAGGACATAGATCTAGAAGGGGAGCAGGGTTGGGGCAGGGAGCGAGGACAACATCTAGGGCCCGAGTGGCAGAGCCTCCAGGGCCTGGTGCCTCATGACCCGACACGGTAGTGTAAGGGGCAGCAAGGGAGTGGGACGCCTCCACAGTGCTAGGCTCAGGTGCCCCACTAAACGAGGCACCCACGATTACAGCGGTGGGGGGAGATGAGAGCAGCGGCCCCGCCTCATGGGGTAAGGCACCCGTGGGCTCAGAGCCTGGCCACTCGTCTTCGGCCTTCACCACAATGGGCACGGTGGAGTCAGCTAGATTACCATTCGCGGCCCGGGGCATTGCAGAGGCCAAAATGGGGGCAACCACCTGAGGCGGAGGGAAGGGGAAAGGGGGGGGAGCACCAGAGAGCAATCACCCTTACCAAGGCCTTCTAATAGGGGGGCATCCACTCCCTCAGTGGTTGGGGTCAAGCCCTGGGCCTCGATCTCAGTAAAAATAGAGGCAAAGTCCCCACCCGCCTCTACAGGGTCCCCCTCGACAGCAGCTGGGGCAGTAGCCATTGCAGCGCCCACAGGGGGCACAGATGGCAATGGGGCAGTGGGGGCACCGTCCATAACCCCCTCAGGGAGGGACTCCATAGGAGAGGTGGTACTACCCTCCTCCGCGGCTACAGCGACCTTGGCCGACTCCAAATGATGAACGTCAGTAGGGGAGTCAACGGAAGGCACAGCATCAGCAACCCCCTTCATAATTTTACAGGGAGTCCCTTCCCCCACGCCAACGAGGGGGGTGCTGGGCCCAAGCTCCCCGCTTGCAGCGTCTCCCCTGCACAAGCTCCCAGCTCCCCAAAGAGCATGGCTGGCCAGCTGGGTGAGGGCCTGGGAGCGAGGGAAGTGACGGGAGGGTAAGGGAAGGCAAGGGCAGGACAACAGGGAAAGGGACAGACTCCCCCTGAGGCAAGCCCCGCTCGAGTCCTGCTACCGGCCCTGCCACCCTCTCCTCCGTGGGCACCGGTCTACTACTGACCTCAGCGATAGGGCCCGCACGCTCATCCGGGCACGTCGGGGGAGCCTCCCCCGAGACTCGAGCGGCGTTAACAACGGTCACGGATGGAGGAGGGGCAACCCCAGGGACCGGGCGATCAGGGACCACCGGTGATGATGGAGCCAATGCCCTTCTGGGTATCGGGGGTCCCAGATGCCCCTCCAAGCCGGGCCAGGGGGCAGTCCCTCCGGACGTGCCCCGGCGCCTGGCAGAGAAAGCACCGGGCCACCCCCGAAGAATAATAAACCCAGTACTGGGCCCCTCGATGGGACACCAGAAAGGACCCCTCCAAAGCCCCCCCGTCACATGCCGTCAGCGGAACTTGAACCTGCACCTGCCGGCGGAATGACAAAACATGGCGGAGTCCTTACAGCCCAACGAAAGGTGGCTGAGGACAGACAGGGGCCTCCCCAGGGTGGAGAGGAATGGCAAAAGGGTGGCATTGGGGAGGAAGGGAGGAACAGAGGAGAACACCACCTGTACACCCAGGCCCTCCAAAGGCTCGAGGGGGACGTGAATGCCCCCCCCCCAAGCCCCTCTCCACCACCTCCTGGGCAGCGGCCTCCAACGCCAGGAAGAACACCATCTTCCCAAACATCTTAGAGGCTGCCACCACGGCCGTGGGCCCCACCATCCACGCCAATGCCCGCACATAGGTTTCTACATGGGGCGAGGCCGGCACCAGGAGGCAACGCACCCCGTGCTCCCTGGTGAGGGTGGGAAAGGGGCCCCAGCCGCCGGGAATGGTATTCCGGGAGGCGGCTGGAGCAGACGGCAAGGTGGCGAGTGGAAGGGTCGCAGCCACCTGCGCGTTCGCCCTGGGGGCCGAGGGAGCGGCACCCCCAGAGCTGGTGGAGGGAACAACAGGCAAGGAAGAAGGGGGAGCTGCAGCCGTTGACGGGGCCGCAGCGAGAGAAGGAACCACGGTCATGGGAGGGTTTCACCTTCCCGGTAGGGCCCTTGCCCTTCTTCATCCCCCGGCCCTTCCCACCGGCCGGGGGAACGGTCTCAGAAGTGGAGACGGTCAAGGTCGCGGCAGCAGCAGCGGAGTCTCGGGAGCCCCTTTCCATACCTGCCGGTGCCTCAATGGCAGGCAGCCCAGCAACGGCAGTCGAGATGGCCATCGCAAGGGAGGGTGTGAGGGGGGACTGAAAGGGAACTGCAGGGGCATCCAGGGAAGTCCCACCCCCTGAATTACCGACCACAGAAAGGGAGGGAAGGGGACAGCCACTAGGGGGAGGAGTGGGAGGGGAGGGGAGGGAAGGGAAGAGGAGAGGGGGAAAACGGCTATCACACCCGACCCGCTAGGCTGAAAGCAGGGTGGAGGGGTGCCCACAGAAAGGGACAAAGGATGACAAGGAACACAATTCCAGCTCAAAATGAAAA